GACTGGTTTTAGTACTTTAAAAAATATAAATAGTCGGTGTAACATTTATGTAACAACAAAGAATGTCCACCATGCTACAAGAAGTAACATATAATGAATTGATCTGCAGACTATTCTGGAATCGAATCCCGATATGGAAATATCCCTGACTGAAATATATGTCATCTCCATTGTTAATATACCCTGGTTGTATAATTTGTAAATCATGATTACAACAATGGAAATTGCAAATAAAAAATTATTTTGCAATTGATAAATTGATTAATTGTTAGTTTGAATATTTGATTTATGTTTGTTTTAATAATGATTTTTTTTACCCAAATTCCAGCGATTTTAACCTGTTTTTATATGTATTACAAAACAGTAACTATGTTCTAAAACTAGACCTCAGTAACCAATTATGATATAAGAATACTTGGTTCTTTAAAATTTCATACTAAATTGAGGTAATAAATCACCTGCGATCATCTGCGAATTTGCTACATTTCATTTGTTCGTAGTGAAAAAAATAAGTTATCCAATCTTCCCGACGAAATTATCCAAGCTATATGTTTGCACATAATTTCAAAGATCAAGAATCATTGGTTTTCCAAATCACATTAGAAATTTATCTAACATGGGCAATCCGTTACATTTGCCATCCTAATTATTTGTGGATTCATGCTGATAGGCAAAATCGAAACTTTGGCACATCTCATATGATGCACAGGCACTCATTCGATGTCAAAAAATAAGCTTAATCGTTTTCATACAACAACAATAGATATCTCTCATTTATTCGTAAAACAGAGAAGATCTGATGATCACATAATAATACACAACATTAGATAAGACACTCTGTATTCTACATAATGTAATTTGGCAAATATATTATAGATATTTTTTGTAATCTAATTCTATATTCCTGCTAAGATCAAATCTGCAACATCTATTTAATTAATAATTTTTTCAGATTCCAAATTGGATTGCCTTTATATAGATAGACCATCTTCGGAAGTACAAATGAGTCAGAAATGGGTACAACAGTTCCATCATGCAATGTAAAAGTTTTATTTTGGAAATCCACTTTTTCCACATTTGCTTGAAACCATGGCCAACCTAATACCAGTGCGGTTTCATGCACAGGTTCATCAGATACAAAAATTTCAGTAACTTCTACTTGTTTCCCATTTTTTATCTTTGGTTTGAAGAGAGGTATTTAGTTTATGGATCATACCTGATATAGGATACATACATGGTAGATTTTCAGGTTTTGTATAGGAAGTATTGATTTCCAAGTCAAAAAGACTTGCTAAGGTCTCATCTATAATCTTATAATTAGTACTGGGTTGAAATGCAACTATGGCTGGTATATTATTAATTTCACAGGTTAAAGTTATCATTATGGCATTTTATTATAACAGTGTATTTATTTCTTGATATTATTATTATGATATTTTAATTCTGGATTTTTTTCTGCAAAAGTTGGATGACGCTAAATATTAGTATACCATTTAATAGGTTTCAGGGGAGCTAAAATTGAAGACAAGCATTTTTCTCACTTCCTCCAACTTGAATTCCAATAATACTGAAATCATCCTTATTTGCTAAACACCCCTTATATGTCCAATACACACCATCGTTCATTTCCCTCCATAATTTTACCAGGTCATTTTGCTTTTTTTGTTCATCACAAATTAGATGCGAGCTTTCAGTAAATAATACTTCATATAATCTATCGTTACTAGTGGTAATGAACATAACATCTGGTTGCTTTCCAACTCCTCTTCGGTCTTTACTGGCCATGCTTTGGCACTCCGCTGTGCTAATAAAACCAGATTTTCCAATCGGGAGGCCTTTTAATGATGCACGAATCATCGGAACTATTACATGAGTCATATAAGTCCCTTCACTTTGCGACTTGGAGAACTTCGGACTGATGGCAGGATTTTTCCAGATATCTCTTCTATAATAGTATTGACAAAAAACCCATTTTACAGGATCAATGGTCATTTCAAAGAAATATCCAAATTTTGCAGAATATTTTGATAATACTTACAATATTTCAAGGATATCTTTTGAAATTTTTGTAAGAACTTCATCAGATTCCTTCCAGCTCTTATCATGTGAAAGTCTTCCCATTGGAATATCTGTAATGCTATCTCTGAAATTATTAACAAATTCATTGCATTTATCTCTGATACAAGAAGGAGCCATTACTTTCATGCACTCCGTGGGATCCTTTTAGGTTAAAACCAATTGGGTTAATTCTAATAAAAACAATAATAATAAAGTATATTTTTTACTTACCATAAAAAAGTTATATTCTTCTTGTCTCAATGTTCTCACCATGTCTGAATCCGTGCAAATTACTTGACTAGCAAGTGGATCCCGCCATGATAAATCCAAAATATTCTTCTTTAAGGGTGGAGTGATCACCATATCAAAAATCAGTTATACAAAATGACTAAAACAATTTTATGTTACACGATTTTATTTTGCAATTTAATAGTTATTTATAACAGATAACAAAGTGTTTAAGTACTTCATGACTGTTAGTATTAGTATAAAGGACATATTAAAGCTTCAACTCCTGTAGTATATAAAAATATATGCCCACGAGCCTTCCTATTGATGCACCACGCGGTCAAATTTCAAAAATAGCGATAATCCGTTCATAAATTAGACCTTTTATTAGTATTCTGATTATCTGTTGAACAAAGAAAAAAAAAGATTTTTTTATCATATCCATAATTTTAATCTTTTGAGTAAAATGCATATTTAAGTTTAATCTGTCTCAGCTGCAAAAAATTAGAATACATAGTTAATTATCAATGCAAATTAACTGATTATAATAATACTTATAATACTTATATATTATTTTGTGTTCGTGTAATATACAATTATGGCTACAAATAAAAGTTCTAATATTAATATAAATTATAAATAATTTTTAAAAATGAAAAATACTTTAAATGAGAGCAAAAGGTGGTTAAAGAATTTTTTCAACAAAGTGGTCAATAAGCATCACGATGATACTTCTATTGACAAAAATGATGATGATGATGATGAGTATTCAAAGCATAATGATGATACCTCTATTGACAAAAATGATGATGATAAATATTCAAAGGAAAGAAACAAAGAAAATGGGGAATGTTTAACTTGTAATAGATATAATACTTCTTCAGCATGGTGTCAATCATGCAATCCAAAGTTGTTAACTGAAGGGTGGACTAGTGGTAATGAAACATTAGATGAGTTGATTAAAAATACACAACTTGAAGCAACAGAGTATTTCGATCATTATTATCTTCAATGGATTCCTTATGACAATTTAACAAATATTGAAAAGATAGGTGAAGGTAGGTTTGCAACTATATACAAAGCTACTTGGTTAAATGGTAGGAAAAGTGTAAATGATGAAAACAAAGGAATTAGTAAAGATATGCCTGTGGCATTAAAAAAACTACATAATTCACAGAATATTTCTGATGAATTTCTTAATGAGGTAAATTATTTTATTAATATTGGTTTCTGATTTTTTAAAATATTGTTATTATAATTAAATATTTATTTGTTTTTTTTAGTTTAAAAATTATGCAAAGCTTCATGATAAAAGAGATATAATCCGTATTTATGGATTAACACAAGATCCAATTACAAAAGAATATATCTTTGTATTAGAAGATGAATTTTCAGATCAAAGAAAAGAAGAATATGGAGAATGCCCAACCTGCAAGAGATATAATACTTCATCAGCATGGTGTCAATCATGCAATCCAAAGCTGTTAACTGAAGGATGGACTAGTGGTAACGAAACTTTAGATGAGTTGATTAAGAGTACACAAGTTAAAGCAGCTAGTTATTATAATTATTGGTATTTTCAATGGATTCCTTATAATGATCTAACAAATATTGAAAAGATAGGCGAAGGTGGATTTGCAACAACATACAAAGCTACTTGGTTAAATGGTGGGAAAAGTATAAATGATGAAAATAAAGGAATTAATAAAGATATGATTGTGGCATTAAAAAAATTACATAATTCACAGAATATTTCTGATGAATTTCTTAATGAGGTAAATTATTTTATTAATATTAATTTCAAATTTTTAAATCATTATTGTAATTAAATATTTATTTGTTTTTTTTTAGTTCAAAAATTATACAAAACTTTATGATAAAGCAGATATAATTGATATTTATGGATTAACACAAGATCCAATTACAAAAGAATATATATTTGTAATGAATTATATAAAAGATGGAAGTCTTCAAAATTATTTAACTAAAGATTTTAAAAATTTAAAATGGAAACATAAAATTGAAATTATTTGTAATATTATTACTGGTTTAAAAGGTATTCATAAAGAAGGAATCATTCATCATGATCTTCATAGTGGTAATATTCTTCAATCTAGATATTCATATATTACAGATTTAGGGTTATCATGCCCAGCTAGTCAAACATCTGAATCAAGCAAAAATAATATATTTGGAGTGCTACCATATGTTGCACCAGAGGTTTTAAAAGGGAAGCCATATACAACAGCATCAGATATATACAGTTTTGGAGTTCTGATGTCTGTAGTATCAACTGGCCAACAACCATTTAATAATTTGGCACATGATGTAGATCTTGCAATTAAAGTATGTGAAGGTGTAAGACCTGAATTCTCAAATAACACTCCAAAATTCTATATTGAATTAGCACTCAGATGCATGGATGCTAATCCAAATAAGCGTCCAACTGCTAATGAAATTGAAAAGATTATTGAAATTTGGAAAGATTCACTTGATGGACATTCAAGAAAACAGCAGGATGAATTAATTAGAAATGGATTTGATGAAATGGACAAAATAAAATTTGATCCTTCAACAATGACTCCAACAATTCATCCAAATGCTGTTTATACTAGCAGATTATTAAAATTTACAAGCCTTCCCCAACCTGTGAATTCCAATAAAGTGACAATTATTGGTAATAATGGTAATTATTAACATTTAATCATTGATTATTTTCATTTTTATTAATTTTAAAATTAACAATATTTATCAATATCCATGTAGATACTAAACAAATTGAATTAACTATACCAGATTGGTAATAATAATGGTAGTTATTAACATTTAATCATTGATTATTTTCATTTTTTATTAATTTTTAAATCTACAACCGAATGATACACTGAGCTTGGTTAGAAGTAGGCATATTTATTAATTATCCACTAATGAGTTACCCAGTTAAGTTAATAGAAATATCAAATCTTGTTGTTTTATTTACTTCCAAACTTATATATTTTAGAGTTGATTATATATACAATATAAATAAATTTAACTAGCATGTATTATCATATTAGTATATTGTCTTGTTAAAGAAAATTAGATGTTCTATTTGTATTTTATTTATTTTAATTCTTATAAGCATTGTTATTGATTTGGACAAAAGAAAAAAATTAATTTTATCTAAGATTTTAATTTTGAGTAAATGCATACTCTATTTGTTTAATCATCTCAGCAGGATCCCACTAGCATTCAGATGCATGGATGCTAATCCAGATAAATGTCCAACTGCTGAAGAAGTTCGTAAGATTATTGATTTTTGGGTTTGGGATGATTATAAATATTCAAAAGAACAACAGGATAAATTAGAATGATAAAATGGATGAAATAAAATTTGATCCTTTCAACAATTACTCCAGCAATTCATTCAAATGCTGTTTATACTAGCAGATTATTGGAATTTACAACCTGTGGATTCCAATAAAGTGACAATCATTGGTAATAAAAATGGTAATTATTAACATTTAATCATTGTTTAAAATTCTATAATATTCACTTTTGTGATGAATATTTTAAACAGATTGAATTAGCTATACTGGATAGAAGAAGAGAGATATCAATTATGATGATGACAAATTAAATGAATAATCAAGGTTCAAATTTTATGTTAAAAAATATTTTTATTAAACAGAAATGCAAAGTTAAGCTATTAATTAAAGATAATTAAATAAATAAATTGACAAAATAACTTGCGAATGATAATAAAATGATTAGTCGATTAATTAATGATTCTATCTAGTCCTATGTACTGCCTCCATATGTGTTTTTACCATTAATCTCACGACATATTCCTCCACTGCAACATATATTAGAATTATTGGTGTTATAAAGTCCATCAAGAGGAATACACGCAGTTGTGGTGGTGGTGGTGGGAAGAGTTGTAATGGTTGAACAGTTTTAACGGTTGTAGTTGTAGTGGGAACGCGTACAGACACAGTTTTTATCTTGATCACGATTTTGATATTATAACATTTGGATTTTGTCTTGGTGATGGCTTTGGTGTTATCGTAATGTTGGTAACGTGCCTCAATATTCAATGTCAATAGACAAAAAAGAATACATTGTGTGAATGATGGCTTGCGTTGAAATGCCAAAAGTAAATGATTGTAAATATAAAGTAATGATAATATCGAAGAAACAGGTCATATATATAAAGAATGAATTTTTTTGATTGATGCTGCAACCAATTTTGTTGTGATTGATTTCAAGCATTCTCTCCAATATTGTTTGCTTATGTTTATACACAAGTTTACTCTACTTCCATCAAGGAAAGCATCAAGCGAAACCAATTTCTCAAATATTAAAATTATGCTCTACCGCACAAGAAAGTCATAAATCCTTCATTCCAAATTATACTTGCTTAGGGGAGCTGGGTGGAAGAAAAAGCTCACAATTTTCAATAGAAAGTAGTAAAAACTTGGAGAGTTTAAATCAAATAAAAGAGGAAATCATATTAGTATATTATTATCCATTTTCAAATCAGCATATCCGGATGGATTCGGATCAAACTCGATTATTATTATTATTATTATTATTATATATTTGTAAAAATAATATATACATATTGCTTCCTATTTAGGGTAGGGGTTGTACACGTGGAAGATTCATTCAATCAATATCCAGGTAAAATATTCAGATTTGATCATTATTCAGTGAATATAAATTTATTAATAATTTTACATTCTACCAAAATTATCAATCAAAAAAACCATCTTTTAAAATCAAAGTGGATTAAGTTTGGTTTTTTTTTTGAGTTTCCAGCTTGAATAAATAATCTTTCATTTGGAGTAGACGTTACAGGCGCACACAATTAAGTATTTAGTAACTTGACAAAACCGGAAATTTATTTTTAGTTAATTGGAAATGAACAAACAGATGAATTAAACGAGAATTATCTAACCAAATATTCACATTCATTCAATGAATATTATTCATTGGGGTGCAACCTGAAAATTGTAGTCCTTATGATGACACTTGTGTTTCCTTTTTTTGGATTTAAAGTTAATTCGGGATTATAATGTTGCAGTCGTCTTCATTAAGTCCTTAACCAAATATACATACATACAAACACAAAAGAATATCCAAATGTATTTAGAAGATATTCTTTGTGATCTTTCTATGAGTAGAGCCATTGACAAAAAAAAATCAGACTTCATGAAATTAATAATGATAAAGTTTTAAATAAATTTTTATAATTATTGTCGCATAAAATCATCGTCCTTGATATTCTCAAGGATCAGGTGGTTGCAGAGGTTGCACCCCAAACAATAATCATGTATTCGGAGCAATAATAAATTAAAATTATTTTAGACAGTATCGTAATTTCTAATCTATTTTGTTATAGGATATTTGTGGCTTTATTTTTTGGTAGAGAATCTTTAATTTAATCATTTTCAACCCATTTTATCAGTATTAGTGAAGCCAAACAATTTTTGGACTAATTTCTTTTGACAATAATAAGCATCGTTCTTATTAATTCGTAGAGATAAAAATTAGTTTAATTGGCGAAAGCCAAAAGAACTCTTTAAACTAAGGCTCAGAACAAATTGAATTTTAAAGTGATCCAATTCGATTCGAACTCAAAAAATTGGATTCAAAAAATTGGATTCGATTTGTGACTTGATTCAATTTGATTCGAATTAACCGGATTCCTAAATTCTTTAATGTCATATTAATAGGATTTCTGTTTGAAAAAAGTTTATTTGAATAGTCTGTTTTGTTCATTGTGAATTTGTGAATGAAACACTAGAAATTAATATTAATAACGATAACAAAAAAGTAATATAATTTACAGTTGCACAATCCATTGTTTTAAATTTATGAATGACGATAATTGCATTGTTAAAAATACCTCTTCAATTACTTCTTCAGCAAACACAGTACAATGTCTTTAAAGAAGAACACGAAGTGAAGTATGTGAAATTATTTACAGTTTATTATTCACAGTTGTATATTGAAAAGCCAAATATCTTTGAGACCATTTATTTCCAAAGCAGGGAATGCGCACCAATCAATTTTTTAATTTAAAATAGTTTCTAAATTTGTACTAGTTACACATGATCATAAATCAAATACGCGTTTCGCGTCTGTTAATATGAAATTATCATTTGTCACAAGGATTTTCTAATAATAATGTTTGTTTTTGTAATTCAAACCATTTATATAAAACCAAACCAAACGTTCCCGACAGGATACTTTCTAACAGTTTATCATAATATTCATAATATTCCTTTGTATCCGTATAATTTTATTGTCGGGGAATCGTCCATCGTATTCCTTTGATTCTCTAATAATACAATTGCAAAAGAGACAGCAACATTCAACTTTATTATACATTTAAAAGCAAAACTAATTATCAAAATTCAGTTAGAAATAATGTAAAAAAATAATTTTTATTTTAAATTTGATTTGAGACAAATCAAATAATTTTTAAATTGTTCTGTCAATAAAATAATAAAATTAAGAAGGTGAATTGAAAATAAAGTTATCTCAATTGATAAATTTTTATTTAAAATGTTATGCTTGAGTTCGATCATAAATGTGTTGAAATTTTTAGAAGCTTCCCCCAAAAATAATTCTTATATAGGTAGATGTTCATGTGTCCTAATCTCCGGAAATGCAGGAAGTTGTACACTCGTCTCCAAACATCTTAACCCACAATTGTGAATCATTGATAAGCACAATCAGCAGAATCAAAAGTAGTGTTACTGCAATACCAGATGAAACAAAATAAACGTGAATAATTTTTTTCGTTTTTTTTCCTTTTAAAAAGCCATATCCAAAATTAATGTGGTAAATGCATTCTAAAAGACTATTAAACGTCCACAAAGTGCATAATCCTGCAAGAAATTTGGATCTACAAAAGAACCCAATTGGTGGTGTGAAAAAAGCCATGGCTACTGAAACCCATGGCAATACTACAGAGAGTAATGTAGTAATTATAAACATTAACCTTTTGCAACGTTTGTCAAATTGTTTTGGTATGAGTTTTTCATTCCGTTCAATAAATTCATTTTTTGTAGCCTTTATGTCTTCATTTTCTTCTAACACTCTTATTGAGTGACCCATTAACTCTGTTTTAGGATCCTTGACTACAAGGATTCCTGTTATTAATGTCCTCCCAGCAATGACCGGTATCGTCCAAAGAAATGACAAAGTCAAAGAGGGCCAATCTTCAGGAGTACATGGTTCCACTATACTCGAAATTGCTGAAATTATTCCAACAATTATATAATATACATATGGTAATGAAGATAGCCGGTCCAGCACCGATGCTTTTGCTGTGCATTGTTCCATAATTTTCTCTTGCTCCCAAGTAATCAGCATATTTTTAGCATGAAGACCGACTGGATGAAAGTCAAGTTTTTTTCCTTTTGTGGTAACAAAATATTCTTCAGGAAGCCAATATATACACATTTCCACTGGGTCAACTCCTATGACCAGGTAGTAAAACAGACCTGTGAAAGGACAACCGAGACACCTTAGTACCCAAGTAAGTTTGAATATCAAACGTATAAATGGGGATGTCCCTAATATTGCGATTACAGGAATGAGACCCGCTATATATTGCGGCACGGGCACGGGTTCTTGTAATTTAGGAATTACTGGATCGTGTGACATTTTATGTTAAAAATTTATTGTTTTAATCAAATATCAAATGGCATTAATTACTTTCATATCGGAGTTTATTTATAAGTGAAAAATTAATTGTCCATCTTCCTAAATCAAACGTTCATTCACAATTTGAAACGATTTTACTTATCTTTTTATTTACAATGTAAATGAAAATTTTAATAAATAAACGCCCAAATTTGTTTTATCATTAAAATGAGTCAACGATGATTTTTTAATCTATTAAATTAAAATAAAGTCTACAGACTTTTTTTTGAATATAATAACATTCTCATTTTGGCGACCAGATAGCACATCATCTAAAAATAGTGCAGGTCACACTAACACATCAAATAAAAGACGATATTTGACCAGTTCTACCATCCATTGCCAAGATAAAAAAATTACTGGTTTCAGTAACAAAAATTCCTGTTTGTTTGTTATATGATTTGACTATAAATGGGCGTCTAAATTGTTTTGGGGGTTGTCAAGTCAAAATAGTATTTAGACAAAAATGTCTAAATGTCTAAATTAATATAAATAGTAATGATTTGCTTTAAATACAACTAAAAGTCACGTGTATATGCACAAAATCCACTCAGTAAATTATCCAATAAAAAATTCAATTTCAGCATTTTAGACAATTGAGACCATGATTGTCTAAATGTTTAAGTAAATTTATATTTTAGACATTGTCTAAATAATTTAGTTTAGACGCCCATCTGTATATTTGACCCAAACTAAAATTAAGTATAATATATAACTTGACACTAAGGTTTGCAATAACATTAGAAAAAAAAACATAATTCGACCCATAATATATACTAACATTAAAAATTTGGAATTGTCTACTGTAACAAAAATAATTTTACCAATCAATTGATTTAACCGATTTAACTGATAATAATTCACAGATTTTTATAATTTAATATTTTTTTTTAGGAAAATATTATATAAAATATTATTGGTTTTGTTTTTTGAATGAGCGCAGAAAAAATTTCGTGTAACAAAATTTTTGGTTTCCTAATAGATTAAATTTACCTATTAAACCAACCTTTTTGGCGTGTATAATAGTTTGACCCACAGATTGATACTAACACTAAATTAATTGACCCTATTTAGTGATTGTTGCAAAATTTAATTTATTATTATATATTAATATATATATTTCAGGTTATTTGTTTTGTGTTTTTATGTTTTATATGATATTTTCAAATTTGAAACATTTTTAATTCGTGTTTCACCAATCAGACATTTATAAAAAAAATTAAATTTTAGAAAATTTATGTTTAAAAAGTTTTTTGTAATAAAATTCCCATATTCGATATGTTTAGTATAATAAAAACAAATTTCTCCATGTGTTTCAATATTTCAATTTTATATGTTATATAAAAGTTAGAAAAATCAAAGTTAAAAAATTTGTTTTTGGTGAACTTGGATGTAGTGTAATGTGTGTCAATTGAACAGATTTACTATGTTGATTATCTTTGCATATCTGCAAATTCATTAATAGATTCCTACACATGATTGGCGAAACACAAATTAAAGTTATGATTTTTAAACATTGTCTTGGCGAACTAGCCAATAATTATCAAATATCATATCTATTGTTTTCAATATTTCCTTATCTATACTTGTTAATAAAAATCAAGAACTTCCAAGTGTAATTGTTTTTCGCTTATGTTTACATTAATAGAGACAAATGACAATATCAAAATAATAATTATTGATCATTATTTTAAGTGTTTATATTATGTAATATACAAACAAATGAAAGAAATCTCTGGAAAAGCTGAGGTTTTACAAATTTCAAGCCGCTGTAAATAATAACGCCTTTTCTCTTCTCAGAACTAATTTTTTGGAAGGAATTTTTTGTCTTTGTGTTTCTGAAGTCATTGTCAAAAAAATTTGTTTTATTTCAACGGGACGAATATAAAAGGAAATTATTATGAATTTAAAATTTTTTCATCACAGCGCAGCTCAAGTAAAAGAAAAAATTACGCAGATATTGATACAGAATTAACATATTACGGCTATCATGATTATTTATTTATATTTATAGTCCTACTCTGAGTCTAGAAACAACATCATCAAATCCATCATCATCTTTAAATATTATTAGTTACTAAAAAAATAAATAATTTACAAGAAGGAAGTAAAAAAGGAGTATTGCTTGGAAGTACTTTAAACAGAAAGGTAGGTAATGTAAGTATGAGTGGTTTAACATTAGAAGGTGAGCCAACTCATTTTTATGAAGAATATGTATCTAACAACCAATTCTGAAGCTTTCATCTATTTTCCGTTACTATAAATAATTTATCGACCACCAGCCAAAAAAAAACATGATAAGAAAGTGAGAGCTTCATTTGGCAACACTTTAGTGATGATGGAAGTGTAAGAACATATCAAATTCAAGTAAAAGTGTCTTCTCAAAACCCAAAATGTAATGTTTTTCCTTTTGTAGTAAATATAGTGTAATTTGTTAAATATTTACAAAATTATGAATATTTGAAATAAATACAAACGTTTGAAATTAATACAAGTGCTTAAAACAATTATGAATATTCGAAATAAACACAAGTATTTTAAATGATTACAAGTTGAAATAATTTAAAAATAATCGCGAATTTTAGATTTAAGAATGTTATTTCTAAAATAATTGTTTATAATTTGTAATTTTAAAAAAGTTGCCTTTGGAAATAAATGGTTTCAAAAGTCAAAAAATATTTCCCTGGTGCAATAATTGCATTATCTACAAAT